AAAAAAAGAAATAAAGAGTCAAATACTTACAGCCATCTGATATGCAGCAAAGCAAACAAAAACTAAGTGGGGAAAGGCCACCCTACTCAACAAATAGTGCTGGGACAATTGGCAAGCCATGTGTAGAAGAATGAAACTGGATCCTCATTTCTCATCTTATATAAAAATCAACTCAAGATAAATCAAAGACTTAGATCTATCACCTGAAACCATAAACATTTGAGAAGATAACATCAGAACAACTCTTCTAGACATTTGCTTAGGCAAAGAGTTCATGACCAAGAACCCAAATACAAATGCAACAAAAACAGATAAATAGATGGGAATTAATTAAACTAAAAAGCTTATGCACAGCAAAAGAAATAATCAACAGAGTTAACAGACAACCCACAGAATGGAGAAAGTCTTCACAATCTATACATCTGACAAAGGACTAACATCCAGAATCTACAAAGAACTCAAAAAATATCAGCAAGAAAAAAATAAACAATCCCATCCAAAAGTGGACTTAGGACATGAATAGAAAATTCTCAAAAGAAGATACACAAATGGTCAACAAGCATATGAAAAAATACTGAACATCACTAATTATCAGGGAAATGCAAATAAAACCACAATGCAATACCACCTCACTCCTGCAAGAATGGCCATATTCAAAAAATGAAAAAATAATAGATGTTGGCATGGATGTGTTGAAAAGGGAAAACATTCACACTGTTGGTGGGAATGTAAACTAGTACAACTACTATGGGAAACAGAGTGGACATTCTTTAAAGAACGAAAAGTTGATGTACTATTTGATCCAGCATTCCCACTACTAGGTATCTACCCAGAGGAAAAGAAGTCATTGTATGAAAAAGATACTTGCACATGCCTATTTATAGCAGCACAATTTGCAGTTTCAAAAATATGGAACCAGCCCAAATGCCCATCAATCAACTAGTGGATATGGAAAATTTCGTATATCTATATACCATGGAATACTATTCAGCCATAAAAAATGAAGTAAGTAATGCCATTCACAGCCACCTGGATGGAATTGGAGACTATTATTGTAACTGAAGTCATTCAGGAATGAAAAACCAAACATCACATGTTCTCACTCATAAGTGGGAGCTAAGCTATGAGGATACAAAGGCATAAGAATGATGCATTGGACTTTGGGGACTCAGGGGAAATGGTGGGAGGTAAGGGATAAAAGAGTAGACATTGGGTGCAGTGTACACTGCTTGAGTGTAACCAAACATAACCTGCTCCCTAAAAACCTATTGAAATAAAGAAACTCAAAACAAACTTAATAAAATAAAATAAACTTTTAAAATGAAGTATTAGAACATGAAAAAAAAAAAAAAGTAGCCCAAGTTAACTGAGACAGAAATTTGTACCAAGAAGTGGGGTGTTGCTGTAAAAAAAAAAAACTCCTTAAAATGTGAAAGCAGCTGAAAGAGACTGAAAGAGTTTTGAAGTGCATGCTAGAAAAAGCCAAGACTGCCATGAAAGGACTACTAAAGGGGAGTCTGATGAAGTCTCAGAAAGAAGAGGAGACAGCTGCAGAGAAACCTCCACCTTCTTAGCGACTACATAAGTGATTATGAACAGAATGTTGGCAGAAATATGAGTTATTCTGATGAAGTCACAGATGAAAACAAGGAACATGTTATCAGGCAATGAAGTAAAGGCAATCCTTATTATATAGTGGCAAAGAACTTGACTAACGTGTTCATAAACGAAGTTAGATATTTAGCTGAGATTTCTGAGCAAAGTGTTAAAGGAGTGGCTTTGTTCCTCCCAATTGCCTATAGAAAAATATAAGAAGAGAGAAATCAATTAAAGAAGGAATTGTTCAGTAAAAAAGAACCAGAACTTAAAGATTTGGAAAATTCTTAGCCTATCCATATTTTTTAAAGTGAGAATGTTTGGAAGATAATATTAAGGGTATGGCTGACTGACTATTTGATAAGGAGACTAGTGTGAGCGTCAACCATGGACCTAATCAGCCACCTTAACAGAAGCAAGAAATGAGATTATGTTAGCAAAAACTTTGTCAAATGGGATGAAAAGAAACAGAAAATGAGACAGGACGAAGGCTGCAAACATATACCATTCCTCAGAGAGAAAAACAGGATGATGGGGAAGATGATTCAGAGATTATTAGGGCTCCCACTTTCACCACAGGCTTATGAGGTGGAGCTAGTTCCTCCTTGGTCTCAAAGGATGGGGCTACCTCTCTCATTTCAATAGCTCAGAATGTTCCCACCTATTCCCATAGGGGTGAGGCCACTGAAGATATCCTTGTGGGTGGGTCCCCACGGAGCAGGAGGAGCAGGACCAGCCCATTGCGCTGTGAGACTGATGTGCCATCATTGTCTTGCTAAGAACTTCCTTATGACCCATCACTCCTTCTACCTTCTTTCCTATTCTTCCCTTTTGGAATGAGAATGTCAGTCCTATACCTGTCTCATCATTGCAGTTTGGAAGCACATAAATTGTCTGGTTTCACAGGTGCATAGCTGGAGAGGAATTCTGTCTCATGATGAAGCATACCTCAAGTCTCTCTTTAGGCTAGACCTTAGACTTTAAATTGTAGAGCTGATGCTAGAATAAGTTGAAATTTGGGGGGGCTGTTGGGATAGAATACATGTCTTTTGAATGTGAGAAAGACAGGAATTTCAGGGGGCCATGAAGGGAATGTTATGGACTGAATATTTGTGTTCCCTCAAAATTCATATGTCAAAGGCTGAACTTCCAATATGATGGTATTAGTAGGTGAGGTCTTTGGGAGGTGATTAGGTTTAGATAAGGTCATGAGGGTGGACCCTCCATTATGGGATTAGTGTCCTTATAAGAAGAGGAGGAGATATCAGGCCTTATGAGACACAGCAAGAAGTTATTCATCTGCAAGCCAGGAAGAGGGGCCTCACCAGAACCCAATCATGCTTGCATCCTGATCGTGGACCTCCAAAACTGTGACAAATAAATGGCTGTTATTTAAGCCACCCAGTATGATATTTTCTTATAGCAGCCTGAGAAGATGAAGACAGGTTCTCTCCACTTTCCACTTTTCTCCACGTCTGGCTTAAAATCCTTGATCCACTAATAAAAATCACTTCACCACCTTGATTACATTCTCTGTTCTTTCCACCTCTATCCTTTATCAATGCCAACCAAGACCTTCATTCTTAAATGGGATCTCTTTGTATTCCTTCTTAGAGCCACACATGAATCTACGATTGTCTCAAAATAAAAGATTTTTTTAAAGCGCACCTTCTTTCTGGATGATGCCAACTATCTCACGTGCCTAAAAGTGAACAACTCAAGTTACTGAAGATACTTTCAGGCTGACTGTGGCCATAAACTTGACATGGAACCTCTCTCCTCCATACTTTCCTTCTCTTACACTCATTCTTTTATTTTTATTATTGATTCTCATGTGTGTGAAACACAAGTAGAACATAGGCTTGAATGTGCCTTGGTCTCTGGGAGGCAGGACAAGCCCACTTTTAGCATGTGTGCTAGGGGAAACTACATCTCACTTACTCTTCAGCAGACCCCAATCTGTCTTTTGTTTCCGCCACCAATGAAAGGCAAGATCACCAATGTCTTTATCTGCCAAATCCAAAAGGTACCAGTGAGATATTACTTGACCTCGCATTAGCATTTGACATATTCTCTTCTCTGAAAATATTCTTCTCTCTTGACTTCTGTGTGTCCCCTGTGGCAAGATATGAAAGTTTCAGCCTGTGTGAATACAGAAACTTCACCATGCTGGGGATTTTCTCCATTTGTTTTGTGCTGTATGAGAGAGATTAAATATGAATGCTTCTCCTCACTTGCGGGGGAGGTTGGAAGTCTTTGGTCTTCATGGAAAGGCAAGCCACACCTTGACTTACTTTGGCTCTGAGTTTAATGGGCCGTGAGGAGTAAGAAGACAGTAGGTTTCAGGGGATGTGGGGGTATCAAGAAGGTTTGAGATGAGGATGCACAAGAGAACTGCTAGAGGGATACAGAAGCAATGGAGAGATTGCCACCAGATGGGACCCCTGGAAGTGAGGTGCTAATATCTGGAAAACTGCTGAGAAGGAGGAGGATCCATAATCCAGGGAGCATTAGAAAAGTGGATCCTTCTGAATACCATGGCAAAGGGCATTGCTTGAGGGCCCAGGAGGCTAAAAAGAACTGAACTTTGCCTGACAATCACCCAGTCTTCTTCCAATGGAAAATGTTGCACTATTTGCACATGAATGTCTTCTCTTTGTCTACACCCACACCAAAGAAAACTCTCTGTCTATATCAGCACTTTACCCCCTGGCTGAAGGCCCCTGGCTATGCCCCAAGACTATGCCTGGTTCCCATCCCATGACCTCCTGTGGACGTTCCATGTTATGGTTTAAATGTGTGTGTTCCCCTAAAATTCATATGTTGAAACCTAATTACCAGGGTGGTGTTATCAGGAGGTGGACCTTTTGGGAGATGATTAGGTCATAAGAGTAACATCCTCATAAATATGATTTGTATCTTTCCAAAAGAGGCCCCAGAGAGCTGCCCAGACACTTCACCATGTGAGGATGCAGCAAGAAGAAGCCATCTGTGAGCCAGGAACTGGTCCCCACAAGACACTGAATCTGCTGACACCTTGGTTTTGGGGTTTCCAGCTTCCAGAACAATGAGATGTAAATCTCTGTTGCTTGCAAACCACACAGTCTATGGCATTTTGTTATAGCAGTCCAAACGGACTAAAATTTTCTTACATATTTTAAAATCCCCACACCCATAAGCCTAAAGAGTGAGGTCTGTTTACGAAGTGGGCATCCCCTGCCCCCTGAACTTAGTGGTGAAGAGGGACAAAATATGTAAGCATAAAGGCCACAAGCTAGGACAGTTGTTCCTGAGCCTCGTCTTACACTGCCTTCCCCAGCTCTTCCTCTGACGTTGCCAGATGCATTTGCTCCATCTCCTCTGCTGGTTCCTCCCTGGTTCTGAATCCCTCGAAACTCTGTCCTTTTTTCTTCTTCTTCTTCTGCCTAGAAAATCATATCTATTATCATGACTTTAACAACACCCACATTCTGATCGCTCCAAATTGATACATTCAGGCCAATGAAATCCAGGTTTAGACATCCAGCTGCTTAATTCATGTACACACCTGTGTGTTTCATAGACATCTGAAGCATAGCACGTTGAAAATCACAAGGCCCTTATGATGTGTTTCTGCTAATCTCTCCTCCCAAATGACAAGCCAGTCTTTCCCTCAACAGCCTCTTGGGCACCCTTTCATTTCTCAGACATGACACATTCATTCTCATCACAGGGGCTTTGCACGTGATATTCCTTCTGCCCCAAACTTCCTTCACCCCGCATTGCTTGCTCTTGTTGTCATTATTTCAACTGTCATCTCCTTAGAGAGACTTTCTCTCCCATTCTGTATCTAAAGTAGGTCCCACTGTTATTTTCTATGAATTCACCCTCTATAGCACAAATCACCATGTGTATATATCTGTATTGTTCTTCACCCCCCCCCCAATAACCCATGCAATTCATGAGGACAAAGACTATACTACATTCCCAGCACCTGGAATAATGTCTGGTTCAGAGAAGAAGAGATGTTTCATAAATATTCATTAAATGAATGGTAAACGTTAGAGTATATATATGATATTATAATATGTATGTATATATATGAAGTTGAAGGGGTGTAGAGAGGTGGGCAAGTGATGAGTTTTATTTCACATGTGTTGAGCTCGGAGGACATAGAGGACAAATGGATGAATCCAGCAGATGATCAGGCTATAAGTGTGAAGGTAAGGGAGGCCAGAGATAAAGATATAGGAGGAGGTCAACGAAACTATGGCCAAAGTCACAGAAGAGAATGAGATGGCCCGAAAATAGTCAGTAGAGAATAAAAAAGTCACTAGAGAATAGGGGACCAAGAACCTCATAGAAAACTACCTAGAGGTTACCTGCTGCTCAGTCACCTCTATTTCACCATTTCCACCAGGCTCTCCCGTCTACTCCTCCGCCTTGTCTAGAATAGGGGGCCAGGAACTTAGTAATACTCACCATGGTATGTCCTTGGAATAAACAGTGACCAAAACAAACTTGGTCACTGCCTGAGAACAGTTCATGGATAGTGAAGGCAAGCCATGTGGACAGTAACTGGGTGGCAGAGATCGTGCCTCTCAGTTTCTTTCTCTTCAGTTTTAGTTGGTCATCTGACTGCCCAGAGGAAAAGCTCCATTTCTTAATTGCCTTTCTTGCAATTTGGTGTAGACCTGGATTAAGTTTTAGCAATGGGTTGTAAGCAGAAGGAAGGGATTCTGTTGTGAGTTGAACTGTGTTCCCCACAAATTCATATAATAAAATCCTAACCCCTGTGGAGGAATGTGAACTTATTTGGAGATAAGGTCTTTATAGAGGCAATCAAGTTAAAATGAGGTCATTTTAAACAAGGACGTTATCTAATATGACTGGTTTCTCTATAAAAAGGGGGAAATTGGACACAGAGATACCTATAGAGAGAAGACAATGGAAGAGACAAAGGGAGAAGATGGCAACCTACAATCCAAGAAGAGAGGCTTGGAACAGGTCTTTTCCTCACAGACCTCAGAAAGAACCAACTGCCAACACTCAGTCTTGAACTTCTAGCTTTCAGAATTGTGAGACGACAACACATTTCTATGGTTTAATCCATCAGTCTCAGGAACTTTGTTACAGTAGCCCTAGCAAACTAGTAGAGAAGCCACTTCGAGGTCATAACTCTATAAAAGGATATGTATGAATCTCCTGGCCCTTCTCCCTTCTTGCTGGCCTGGGGATGACTAGACTTGCAGCAACCATATTGGATCCAGAGGTGGAAGCCATGTGTTGAGTTTGGCAGGGCCACACCACAGTTGACAAAGCACCCTTGACTGCACCCCTCTGGACTGTTATGGAACAGAGAAGGTCTGTTTGTTCTAAGCCACAAGGTTTTGGGTCTCTTTGTTACAGTATAGATTCCTTAGCCTATATTCTAACTGATACATATTGCATAAAGGTCATGGATAACTATAAATAAAGTCATGTATGACTTCCAAAAAATGCTTGAAAATGAATTATACTTGACCGCCTATCCTAATTATCCATTCTGCAACAAATTTATAGAACTAAAAGTACATCCTGCCACATCTGTCTCTCCCTCCTAAACCTCCAAATTGGCTGGTCTCATCAATTCTAACGTGGTTTTCATTATTGACTTCATCTCTCTTCCCATTTGCAGACCACTCAAAGAATCTCTTCCAAGATTTTTCCTTTATATTCCTCAGGTTACCTTAGCTCCTCTATTTCACTCCAGTCTGGTTTTCAAGTTTAAAATGCTTTCCAGAATACAAGTCTGACACTCCACTATTCTTTTCTTTCCAATCCAGGCACAATTCAACATGATTCAGTCATCATCATTACAGGTAAAGCACTTTCCTAAAACACTCATCTACCTCTGCTCTGTCTTTTGCTGAGGTATGCAGCCCCCTTTGATGTTAAATGGATTTCTTTCTGTGACAGTACTCGAAGACAATAGGATCTGGCTAGACATCTTCAGGCTTTCTTAATGTCAGCATTAAATACGGATTTATTGTTAATTGATACATTTATGCCTGACTTTTCTAAATCAATGGAAAGCAAAAAAAAAAAAAAAGTTCACAAAATGCTAAGAATTTTATCTGACTTTAAGGAAAGTCCATGGCAAGAATGTTCTCTTATCTAAGCCGGAATATCTGGAGTAAAAAATTTGGACATTAAACATGATTACTGTGGTGTTTCTTTTCTAATGAAGTCCACTGTTCTCGAGCCCATTTTTTTCATCCAGATATTCCATGAAAGTTAAAATAGGGAATACATTCTACATTCCAGATCAAAATTGAAAATCACTGAAGCATTTGTCTACAAATGCAAGTTGATCAGTCAGTCCCATATTTTTTCTTTATTCTAGAATGAAGAACAATGTGGATACATCAGAATCATTCAACAATGATATAACTTACCTTCTCTATGACCCAATTTACTTGCCTAATTTTGGAGACTCAATGGACTAAGAAGAAGATTAAATATGGAGAAATTATATTTCTTTTCCTGGATCTGTCAGAAAAAAAATATACATGACTTTGGGGAGAAAAATATCCTTCCTCCGACTCTGCTTCCTCATTTGCAAAACAGGGAAAGGAAAGTCCCACTAATTTAGTAATAAATTATCTCATTACTGAGTGTAAACACTGTTATTGTTTAGCATTTATTTCTGCAATCTGTCAGGATATTTTGAAATTTCTGCATGAAATACACATCTTAATGCAGTGTTTCTCCTTCTCTCTCACATGGTGTGCCGGAGAAGGCGAGGCAGAATGGTGAACACATGGGTGATGTAAATGAAATGCTGTTTAATTTATTTTCAAATGGATAAAAGGAAATGTAATTAAGCTCCCTAAAAGCCTCCCAAATAAACTTCCCTTAAAGGAGTAGAAAAGGAGGTTGTAATTGATCAAAGTAGCTACCTCAAGTGTTTCAAGTGTCAGATTCCTTGACACTTGGAGACAAAGACCAGATTAAGATAGGCAGCAGAGAATCAATTGTAGTACAAGCCAGAAGCTTCACAGGATGGGAGGAAAATACCAGAAATGTGGATTAGATGCTGGTCAGCATCAAGAAGCAAACACACTTCATGTCTGAAGTCTCAGGCTTAGATGTACCACTGGTGTAAGTGAATCCTCTCTCTTCTTCATGCACAAACAAGTAAATGTGTGTTTATATTAGATAAATAGATGATAGATGATAGATAGATGGACAGACAACAGATAAATAGATAATCTCCTATCTGTTTATTTAATGAGGAAAAGCCAAGATATCAGCCTAAAACCACTAAAAAAGAGAGACAGAAAAAGTCTTACGGGTCTACTGGTCCCAAGAAAAAGACTTCCTTCTGCTGCATTGCATGCTACCAAGGACAGCAGGGGATCCACAGCAAATAATATCCACTCACGTCTGTACTGTACATTTGCTAAATTCTGATCTCTGACAAAAAAAAGGAGCCCTGGTAGAACAACTATAAATATATACACTCAACATCTCACATATCGCATAGTAAGTGCCACAAAATGAGCATGCGTTGTGTTTGTTCTAAAATTGTTACTCTTCAGAGTATTCAAACTAAAAAACAAAACTATATTTATATCTCAGGATTCTATAACTCCACCAGCTTTGGAATGACAAGCATGAGAAGTGGTCACCCTCTTAGGGTCATTAAGGTTCCTGAAACTTACACTTCATAGAAACAGGCATTTTTATCCTTTTTAAAAATATATGTGTATGCCCCAACTAATCAACAGCCTGGACACACAGAGAGACCCAACTTTGAACTGACTGTGGAATTAACTCTCATGTGTCAATAGAGAGGAAGTCATCAAGGTGTAAATTTCCTCTCTCAAGGATTGTATGTCTTTATCATATAAATCATAAAATAAAATTCATGAGTTTCCATTAAAAAGTGAATATTTTATGATCCACAGTTTATCAACTGTCAGCTATACCCTGTTTTGATTCTTTGCTTTCCTCTTTTTCGACATGATCAAATATGAACATGCTATTAAGTCTTAACCCTAGCATGCTATTTTTGAAAAGATAGTATATAATGAATATCTGCCATAAAATAGTACATAAGTATGTGTGATAATCAATTACAATTGATTATTTTAGTTTATTGTCTTTCCAAAAAGACAGTGAAGATTTGAAGCAATCTATTGTTAAAATAAGGTTTTAAAAACAGAAAGAAAAAAAAAACCGAAACCACCAGGAATGGAGAAGAATTAAAGCACAATATAAAACCCCTGTAATAAAAAGAGTCATTGCCTCACAGATGAACATAAATTGAAAAATCTATTGCATTTTTTCTGCAGACATTCCTCAGGATAGTGCCATACTACCATTCATGGGAGATGCTTATCACAAATAGTCAGAAATAATGTATCTCAGGGAGAAGCATTTCATTATTAGGTATGATGAA